TTTTTTTTTTGCAGTTATTTGGCGACAATGGTACTCACACATCTAAATACTGTTGATGATCTGAGGGTGATTATGAAGAAATACGAGAATCACCCGTTCTTCTTTCCATTTTGGCATATGATGAAATTTAAGCTGGAAAACGTCTTCCCTACCATAACGTCTACATTTTATTCCTGTAAAGCAGGGAACTCCTATTTGTTGATCGCTTACAACAATAATCGCATAACGGAGTGAGTTTTAATTTCGTTTTGTTTTACATTTTCTACCTTGGTTAAATTAGAATAAATTGTGAAGTGAAACTGAGTGAAGAGTTATTATTATGAAAGCTCTTTGACATGTCTACTGTTTGTTTAAACAATAAAGTTACAAGAACCTTAAAATGTTTTAAGAACATCAACTCATCCTTGTATTTCTCAAAATCTTTGAGAAATGTAGAAATCTTGGATCTTGTTGAAGTTTTTTCTTGCGAACCTATGTCCTTTTTTCGCCAGCGACTACATTTCATTATTCTGCGATGGGGAACCCGATGTTGAAGGTTTTAACGACGCTATCGATGAGGTTTTTCGCTTGCATCCGCTCAAAAAACGCATACTTATTGTGGGAGAGGAACGAGTAACGAAATCGGTAAGATCCATTTTTTTGGCACTTTCCATGATGGGTAAAATTATAAGATTTCCTTTTTTCAGTTATCAAATTACATTGATGTCATCCCCTCACTTAGCATTACGCACTATCCATGTATAATGTTCTACATGAATAGATCTCAAATGGAAACTGTGCGAGTCTTGCAGTTGCCAAAAGTACCAGCAGGTTATGAATTAGGTGAGTGCTGTTGTATGGACAGGATAAGATTGTAACGCATGACACCATCTAGGCTCTGCGAACCCCGATAAAGATGCTGAGATTATCACTAAAACATGGAGGCACGCCAGACCGAATGAAATGGATCAGACTAAGTAATCTCAATTTAACAATGCTTCCTTAATTATTGAAACTGGGCCAAATTGCACTATTGTATCATTACTTTCATGGACTTAATCTACATTATTAAGCAGTGAAAACAACTTTTTTCAAGACTTCTCATTTACGGAGTTTCTAATATTTCAGTGAACGTATTAAAAAAGTATATTTATCATTTCTCATACATAAAGCATAGCGCCATGATCAGCGTGCATAATGACTACAACTTGCATTGCTACTATTTACAGACTGCAAATAGACATAAACTTATATGCAAAGGCTGCAGACATGCAGAAGTTGATTTTGTTTTATTTTTATGTCTTTTTCAGAGCAAAGCTAAGGAACTTTCCCTCTTCTTGCGTTCGTTACAATGGTAATCCCGTGGGCTTTGAAATGATGGATGCTACGGGAATGCTTAATCATCTGTTTGTACTGGAACAACATCGCAAGAAAGGCCTTGGAAGTATCATTGAGCTCGATTTAGCGAAAAAAATTATTAAGTAATTTTGTTAATTTTCCTATCCTCTCTCATATTTCCTGGTCAACGATTGATTTTAGCAATGGATGCAAAGTGTACAAGTGTGTTGAACTATATAATAAGACGGTGCTAGCTGGAAGCAAACAATCACGATTCTGGAGCAGTGTCAAAGATAACGATGGAAATGATGTCCTAATTGTATTCTCGATTGTTGTCAAAGAATGAGATAGATTGAAAAAAGATTGTTGTAAGTCTCATACTCATCCTAAAGCTTCTCAAAAATATTCCTATATAAGTTAGGTCTGGTTGCATTTCTGTTCGACACTCCTACGAGATTGCTAATTTTTTAGTCATTTTTCTTATAGTTAATATCATTTAGGGCTTAACTGTCATGACCCAAAGTAATTTTAAGAAAACTATGCTTGACAGGTAGGGTTCATGAACCTCTCAGTTGTATCAAATAGTTTTGTGTGCGCTTCAACATTGAGATAAACTCATTGTGTCAGGGGCTTCCTTTATTTATTGTGGTGCAATTGCTGCAAATATTTCTCCATGACCAAAAATTATACATTTTTTG